CTTTTTCTTCATCATCTTTCGAATTTCAAAATAAAACTACTACTTTTATTACACTTTTCTTTTGAATTGCTCCATAATCAATAATTTTTCTAGGAATTTCCATAATCATTTAACCAAAAATTCCCAGTCACGCGTTTCTTTCTTAAGTAACAGACTGCACGCTTCTGTCTCGTTATCAATATCTTATCGCTCATTTCATTTTTGTTACTGTTGAAAAATTTCCGCAACAACGGTTCATTCAATATACGAAAATTTTCGACTAGACTAAACAAATAATAATTATATATGCGAATATCTTATCGGAGCAAGAAATATTCTTATTAGATATTTGTGTAATGGATACGCCAGACATACATATAACATAAACAAATCACAGTGGGCGAGCGAGAAAGAGATAGCGAAAGAGAGAAAAGCTTACAATTTGCGTCTATTTAAGTGTACGTTGACCTCACAAAAAATAAAAAACTGAAATAAAATCCATGAAGAACAACGAGGTGTAGCTCCCCATAGAGTATATACATACATATGTATATATAAATATACTATGTATGTGCATATATCTGTATGCTTATGTAAATATATATTTACTTATCTTTCTAAAGGTGTGCGCCTCCATCTTTTGCTATTTGTTGAAGCACTTACTAATTGCTTGAATTGTCTTTGATTTATGCTCCGAGCGCTATTTCAAATCTTAAGTGGATTTTTGGGATGCAGACGTAGATAACTAGTAAAAGAGCTATGGGACAAGAACTTTAGAAAAGGAAACTTAAGATTAAAAAACAAAAATACTATATACAATATAAAAGTTATTTTTAGTACTTAAATTAAAAACAATGATTTTATTATTCTAATAAATGAGAGTTTTAATTAAAACTGAAATTTTTGCTGATCTTCCAAAAATACAGTTTATCGTTTATTTTCACTAAAAATTTGTGCTTAAAGAACTAAAATATAATTTATTTTATTTATAGTAAGCTTTTACCTGTAAATAAACATTTTTATTTACTTATAGTAATGAAAAAAGTATATTACCAAGAATTGCATATAATAAATTAAAAGAAGTATGTGTTTGTAACTGTTATTAAAACATACATACAAGGTAAAATTTGTAGAATCTCATAGAAATGAATAAATAGAAATGTATTAATTTTGAATAGTTATCAAAGCTCACATTCCGGAATGTTCTGAGTGCAGCTTTCCTCGCCAGGCCCACCATCGCCCTGTCAGCCCCACCTCCTTTTCTCTTTGCTGCATCTCTTGCTTGTTTACAACTGTTGTTCGCTTTACTGATCTATCCAACAAACTGATCACGCACTATCTCGCTCTCTCTCTCTTTCTCGCACGCTCGACTTTTCTGTTGCTGTTGTTTTTTTTTTTCAAGACCAGTTTTAAAGCGTCGCGCTCCATTTCTGAGCTATCCCAACAAAATAACGGTAAACAGCTTGATTTCATATGAAACATGTGTACCTAACATTTCCCAGAGACATAAAGAGAGAGAGATATATAACGTGAGTAAGAGAGTGTGATTAAAGAGGGGGAGGGCAAATAGATCTCGACGATCATTGACCGAGCTCTTATTGTGCGCTCGTCGTGCTTTTAACCTCATAAATAGATAAAAAGACAAAATGTTTGTTGTTGCTCTTGGGTTTACCTTCAAAGAGGAAGGCAGAGAGATAGAGAGAGAGAGAGATAAATACGGATACATACATACATACGTATTTAATTTTCGTTTCCACAGACACACGAAAATAGTTTTTGTGTCGAATGTTAATGAACTTTTGCGCCAGTTTACGAATTGTGTGAGGCAGAAGTCCAACACAAACACATAAATGCACACACACACACACATACAAACAACACAAAAACTTGAAAAAGTTTCTTGAACTTGCTTAAAAAAAAAAAAACGAAAAGAAAAATATTCTTAGTTTTGAGTGTTGGATTTTTCATGCTTTTTAGCGCTTTTCATATTTTGAGTTGTCGAAGGTGGAAATAATCATAAAAATGATTTCTTTTGCCTTGGGCTAAGATCGATGGGAACTGAGTCAAGATGAAGAAGAAATAGCTTGTTGTAGTCTCTATTCAAATAAAATAAATAATATATAACTCAATGTGGAGCTTTATATGCAAGTGTACATATCATATATATATAGGTCTATGTAGTTTTAATTTAAAATTTAATTATTGTGTATTGTAATATTTTCAAAGATTAGTTAATGTTTACAATATATATTTTAATATATTTAATTTAAAAGTTTGTTGTATATAGTTGGTATTAAAAAAAGAAGAAAAAAAAAATGTAATGAAAAAAAATGAAATGTAATATTTTTATTTTTATTTTTATTATTTTATATATTTTATTTAATATTTTTTTATATATTTAAATATACAAAAAGATGTATTTTTTATATATTTTATTTTATTTGTATACATACATATACATATAAATAAATAAATAAATATATATATAAATATATATATAATATATATAATATAATATAACATATAATATTTTTTTTCTTCAATATTTGTTTTTATATATAACCTTATCTATATATAATTGATTACAAATCTTTAGATTATATGAATTATCAGCGGATGCTATTTATAGCAAATTTGTTAATAAAACTTTGACAAGATCTCTGACCCCATTTCCCTCACAACCTCTATTGAATCTCTTAAATATATAGAGCTGTTTCAGAGTTGTTGCGTTAGGGTCAGTTTCCAGTTCGTCTAGCCTAGAATCTAATCTAATCAAGAAATATACATTTACAATATTGCTAACAGTTAACATACTATTTAAGCTGCTTGAACTTTGTTATTGCTAGTAAATATCCATAT